ACTGCAAGCCTACACAGAGCAGCACAGACAGGCATTTCTGTGATAACAGGAAGTCTCCACATCAGGGGGAATTCCAGGAAGGAATGCTGAGGTACTGGCAGCAAGCAACCAATAAGCTGCATCTGCACCTGATCCAGGGGCACAAAGGACATAACAGCTTGGCAGAGGATGAGTACAAATAAATCCTCCCTTGGGATTCTCTGATAAACCATAAAAAGGAAGTGCTGTGACAAAATAAACCACCTTATTGAAATTAGGATGCCTAAATTAAAATAGACATGTTGTCACTGAGATCCTCTAATCACCTCTCTCTACAATGTCAGAAATGAGTTTTTGGTTCACATACAAAATCTCAATTTGCTCTCCTTCTATCATCCCATGCATGAGATTAGAGGATTTCTCTTCTCTGGGATGAAAAGATGCATATTTGCTGATAGTTTGGTGCCTCCAACAAAATAGTTGGGTCTAATGTTCAACATCACTGGTCATTTGAGAGATGCAGATGAAAACAACACTGAGATTCCACCTCATCCCAGAAAGAATGGCCGCTATCAAGAAATCAACCAATAGCAAATGCTGGCAGGGATGTGGGGAGAAAGGAACCCTTCTCCATTGTTGGTGGGAGTGCACACTGGTGCAACCATTGTGGAAATCAGTATGGAGATACCTCAAAGAACTAGGACTAAAGGTCCCATTTGACCCAGCTATTCCCCTGTGGTGTGTATCGTCCCAAAAGAATTAAAAGAATCATACCACAGAGATATATGTTCATCCATGTTTATAGCGGCACAGTTTGTAATAGCTAAAGCTTGGAAAAGCCCAAGTGCCCATCAACTGGAAACTGGATAAAGAAGATGTGGGTTTTTTTATAAAGTGGAGTACTACTCAGCCATAAAGAATGAGAAACTAGAGACATTTATAGCTAAATGGATGCATATTGAGGCCATACTCTTAAGTGAAATAAATAGGACACACGTGTAAATACCGAATAGTTTCTCTAGTGTGAGAAACTGAAAGTGTAAATAAGGATTAAAATGAATAATTGATAATTTGAAATAGGAAGAAAAGGTCCAAAGGTGTAGGGGTGGTGGGAGGGGAAGGGGAAAGGAAAGAAGGGAAAGGAAAAATTATGAGAAAAGAAAAAAAAGTGGAAATGAAGCCTATGTAAATAGGGAAGGGTGGAGGGGGTGAAGGACACACAGGCAATGGGGAAAAAATAAGAACCAGGATACATCATGTACAGGTACAAGCACCCAATGATAAATGTAAACATATTATATACCTAAAATGTACCAATAAAAGAATTTAAGGAAAAAAATAGTTGGATCTATTACCCAATAATAGGGTACCCAGGCACTCTATTATTCTGGAGATGCTACTACTTCAGAAGCCCACATTCACAACCAGCTCTTCTAACATTTTAGTTCCTTAATTTCAAATGTGTACAGGTATTGAAGTCCTTTGATATTTGAGGAAAGCCTCTAAATTGTGAAAGGTAGAGCCTAAAACAACTGAAAAAGTCTTGTGACTTTCACAAGAAAGTCAAGGCTGGAAAAAGAAATATTCCCTTAAGCTTTGATCAACATCTCTGGGATAATACACTAAGATTGCCAATCCATGAAATAAAACAGGAAACTCAAAATTCCAAAAATAAGAGTGTTTGGAAATTTAAAATGTTACAGCAAATTTTAAAACTCTATAGGTGAACTGAAAAAACAAAGTGAAGAAACTCTCCAGAAAAAAAATAGTAAAAATGGAGAGGGAGAGGGAATAATGAGAGATGGAAAATAAGAAAGACAAGAAAAACAATTCAATTAGGTCCAAAATCATCTATGTCACTCGCTTACCTAGCAGTCCCCACCCTGTCACTTCCCACCTTAATAATGTAAAAGCCAAACCTTGCATGCATGGTGCCCTCCACTATCTGACAACAGGCACCTTGCTGGTCTCATTGGTGACTCTCCCCTCACTCACTTCACTCCAGCCCTACTTGAGATATCCAGCCTTGAAGCCCTTACCCTGACATTTCCTCTGCCTAGAATGCTTTTCTAATAGCCAGAAAGGTGAGGAAGAAGTAGTCCTTGCAAATGTGGCATTCTGTTCCCTGAGACCATCAGGGCTGCACATCCTAGGCTGATGCCTCAGCCACAAACACTGCACATAGTCACCTGGGTATCAATTCTCCTCCTGGGACCAGGGCTGCTGAATCCCTTACCTGAGAGTGCAGAAGAAAGCTGCCACCAAAAGTACAGACACACAACCCAAAATAAGCTTAAATTAAATTGGCAGTAACCAATGGCCCCTCTCTCCTGTTTTGCCATCTAGTTATTTTAAACTTTCACATATAGAGATCAATAGACTTAGAACTTCCCAAGTCAAAAAGCATCAGTGGTTTCTCTTCATCTACCAAAATAATTGTGTAAATTTCTCAGCCTAGCATCTGATGTCCTCTGTAAATTTCTCAGCCTAGCATCTGATGTCCTCTGTAACATACATTCAACCTACCTGCCTTGCCTTCTTTCTGACAGCACTTGGCTTATACTGCTCTAGTTCCTGCTTTCTCCCATACCTATTCGTCATCCTTAAATCATCTGTTGCTTCCACCTGAAATCTGTGCCCACATCTACCACAATTCTATATTCATTGTCAAGGCTCATCTCACCAGGTATGAGTCTGCCCTTGATCTCACCAATAAGATGCGACTTCTCGCTGAGGATTTATCTCAGTGGCGCTGCACCTGCCTCAAAAGCACAAGGTCCTGAGTTCGATCTCTGGTACCAAAAAAAATGTGACTTCTCTCTCTTTTGAATTTTATTTGAACATCCTTTGGGAATTTACCTGACTTCAGCTTATATTTTAGTTATGTATGTCATGTCAAAACCTCCCTATAGTCTGAGAGTTCTTCCAAAAATTACGGTACAGCATGGGTCCCTTTTACAATCTCAGAATGAAGCCACATACCACTCTGCCCTTGGCAGCCAACTGAAGATTCCCCGAATGAGGTTCTGGGCACTTGAAAGACAACCTCCAACCATGCCTTCCTTCTGGACTATTTGCAAGCATAAGCCATTCATTGTAAACTTAGTACATATGTAAAGATGTACACTAGACTAGACTATAGCAAACAGAAAAGTCAGACTATTTCCCTTAAATACCTTGGTTCTTGTATTCCTTTAGAATACTGAAAAACCTAACAACATTGGACATTCCCTCATAGCAACCATCAGAAATGGCAAATCCACCACTGACTTCTTTAAATGGGGCATGCTGCTACTATTTTCCACAGTCTGCCAGGGCTGCCTCTTTAACTTATGTCACCCATTGAGCCCTCTAGGCATTTAAATTTTTGAGCCCCAGTCCAAATCATTTTTGGCCTTTGCCATTTCAAAAGGAACTAGTATTTGATTTTGCTCAGAACAAAAACCCTACACTTATAACCTTGCAAGACATCTTTTCACAAACATACTCCTTGAACACTAACACTGAGAATCCTGCCTGATGTACTTCCTCTTTTTGAAAAGGTGTCTCCAAGCACCTTTAGAAATTGTAGACCAGTAGCACACAAAGGCAGAATGAAAGTCATTTCAATGAATATAAAAATAAAACAAATTTGTAACGTGAAAATGTCAAACCTTCATTAAAATACTAGAAATGTCATTGAATAAAAGAGTCTTGGAGATTCACATGGTTAAACTGCAACATGGAAGAACCATATGTGCAGATTTTTTAACACATAATCAAGAGAAAGAAACTGAACTGGGGACTGTAAGGAAAATGATTTTGCCATATGCACCCCAAAATGTAGTAAATAAACAATGAGCAGAGATATTTTTTTATTCTTTGCATACAACAGCAGGTCCCCAGAGCTGTGCTATGAGTCAACAGTGTGTATTGTATAGAGAAAAGGAACTCATTTTATTTAACATTAAGAACGGAATCCTGCACTGGTGTCTTCTCTAATAGAAATCACCTCCAGCGCTAATTTGGAATTTAGAGCAATAGCCTTTTATTAAACTATTTACAAATAGCATTTTATATGTCAGAATATATTGTCATAAATCAAACACAGGCTATTTCATTACCCTCCAATAGACTCAGTTAAAGAACCTCAATAGAGATTTTTAAATGCTCTTGCTTCCGATTATACCCATAATTCCTTGCAATGCAACTGAATTTTGATATTGAGTCCTTCATAAAGTTCTATCTTGACTAATTTAAATAACATTGCTATGAAATTTAAATGGAAACCAAATCATAGCAAAGGGGAAAATTAATAGGGATAGTCCTGGGACTTCAGATGCATCTTCAAGTGAAAATCGAAAATATATGGAAAGTCAATAAAGAAGTGAAACAGAAAAGCATGCATAGAAAGTGAAAATTCACCAACAGTGGCTTCCTGGCTGAGATAAGCAGAACAGAGTTGTGGAAAAATGTGTCTATAACAGAAGGGAGTAGCATAGAAGCATTTGAAGCCAAATGGGCATTTATAATTGGATTTTGCAGTTATCTTTCTGTATTTCTATCCAGGTGGTATAACTTAATGGATGAGTACAAGCCTTACAGTTGAATTTCCTGGTGCTAAGAGACAAAATACTCTTTGTCCCATTCCAATCCTTGACATTGGCACCATATATTGATATGTTGAAAGATCTAAATAGGCATGAAACTTGAGAACATGTACTCACCGTGTTAACATTGAACCAAGTCATAAAACAGAAAGTCAAACTTGTTGAGCAAGGAAATATAAAAGATCTTCCAAAAAAAGATAGATAGAAAGAAAATTCTAACTAAAGAACCACTTTAAACCATGACTAAACTGACCTAGAAATATTAGATCAGAAACATCAAAATGTTTTCCAAATGAATGTAGAACAATTGTTTAGTTAGATTTGCTCCCTGGAAGAGAAATGTAATGGAGAAAGAGAAAAATAATTACATACAAGTCAAATGACTGTGCTTTAATGACACAGTCCTGTTTTGTTGTTTCCACTTACCATGTTCCTAAGTGTTGTCCTCAGCCGCTACATGCTGGCTGTTGTTTGTAGCATTTGCTATAGATGTTCTTATTCATGGATATGTTTATCTTTTGCTCATTTCAGGTGGCAGTGGCTGGTAGGTGCTGCAAGAGCATCCATGATCGGAGGAAAGGGGTAGAGACCTGAAGGCCAAAGCACTTGTAATGGGCTTTATCTGGAGATGAAGATACCAGGCTAGCTTATCAGGCAGGGATCAGTGTTTTCTGATCTGAAAAGAGAAAACCAACCCAATATAAAATGTACTCATAGATCAACGATCAAGGCCAGCTGAATCTGAAGTCAGTTAAAAAGATAAGAACCAAAAGGAAAGCAAAACAAATGACAAAAATCAAAAGTTCCAGGCAATCTGTTGAGAATCAGGATACCTAGAGTAAATAGAGCTGACGCATAGTAGCAATTCAATAAATGAGTAAATTAATGACTATGAATTAAATGAATGAAAAGATTATGGAAGACTAAGTAGCAAAACAGGTATAAGGTAGTGTTGGGGGAAGTGGGGAAGAGAGACCTTCATAACAAAGGTTATCTCAGCCACTACCTAACAGCTCTAGGGGGTTTCCTGGAGATCAGAGAGGGTGATTGAGTGTGTCTAGCTAGAGAAATGCCAATATGTGTACCCACGTGCGTCTTGGTGGCTTCTAGAAGGAATAATGAGAGAAAGAATGAACTGTCCTTATGACCTAAAGCCCCTCTTAAACTAAGCAGCTTTTTTCTGGCTCCTTTTCTCCTTTCTTTTTTCAAGTGTCCTTTTATTCCAATGCCTCTAAGCAGACCTCAGTAACTCCACCACCAATGTTCCAGCTTCATTTCACAGGAACTGCTCTACACTTTGTTATTCTCCAGGGCTAAAATTCTCTGTGGTCTACCTTACTGCATTCCTGGCCTTGTTTGGGACAAAGCAGAGAGAGTAGGAAAAGACCAAAGAAGGGTAATACAAAAAAAAAAAAGAAAGAAAGAAGAGCAATACATTTTTAAAGATTGAAGTTGAGCTTTGTTGCAAGAAAATAACAGAAATGCTGTGTTAAAAGAAACAATGCTGTTCCTCTGTATCTTGTTTCTGTTGGTATTCTTTACCCAGGTTTTGGTAAAATAGGGATAGAGCATTGGTAGAACTCTAACATTTGTCCTTAGCACTGAGCTATTCATTTCCTCAACTGCTGAGATTACTGGCTGCTGATGGTTTGCTGAAAATTACAAGGCCATGCCCCGCCCAGAGAGTAGCCCACAGCTGATACTTGCTGATGCATGGATAATGGTCCAACACTTTTATCTGAATTCAGGGCATCTATGAAGGTCAATCTAGGTCCATGGAGTCCTAAGCACTGCATTTGAGTTTCCCCTTCTACCAATTTTAATTGAATCAGCCCTACAATTTACTGTCTCAGAGACTGTTTTCAGGAACCCAAATCTAAAACAAAGGACACACATGTCACATGACTTACGTTTAAGAGGAAAAATATACCAGCTGCTACTGTTTGAGAAAGTGTGCCCCAAAGCCCATGTTAAAAGCTTATTTGCACCAGAGATTTAGCTCAGTGTTGCTACGCCTGCCTGGCAAGCATGAGGCCCTGAGTTCAATCCCTGGTACCAAAAAAGCTTATTTGCCAGCTTGCACTGCCATTGGGAGGTGGTAGAACCTCAAAGAGATAGGGGCCTAATGGGAGAAAGTTAGGCTACGAAGGGCATGCCCTTGGAGAGGAGATTGGGACTTCAGCTCCTCTCTCTCTCTCTCTCTCTCTCTCTCTCTCTCTCTCTCTCTCTCATTTTCCTTCTTGGCTGCCATGGTCTGACCAGTTTCCTCTGCCAATACTCCTCACCATAATGTACTGCCTCACCACAGATCCAAAGACAGTAGGGTCAAATGACCATGAACTGAACCTCTGAAACCATGAATCAAAATAAACCTTCTTCCTCTAAGTTATTGTCTCAGTCATTGTGTCACAGTGACAAAAAGCTGATGGACACACCAGCCCCATATGCTTTGTCCACCAGCCACTGGTCAGCTAGAGGTGACATCAAGACATGGGTAGCCTCAAGAAATGCTTTTCAGCAGTGATCTGGCATTTGAAAAAATGGAGTTTTTCTTTTCCCCATAGAAAAGAAAAGATAGCAAAAGAAAGCAAGCTATCAAAACAAGGGCAAAGTTGCTACCCAGAAATATTTTATGATTTCTCAGATTGCCATGTAATTGGGATGTTTTCTCATTAAATATAGAATAACATATTCTTAATGAATCTGAACAATTTCAGCAACAGTATACCCTCAAAAACTCAGCATAAGTAGTTTATGTAAAGCAGCGGATAGCTGGGATTTAATGACTATCTTGGGGCTTAGTAAAACTGTGTGGTGTTATTTGGATGACTGTGTCCAGGAATAATTGTTTCATTCATATTGAATACCAGGAAGGCTTTAGGAATTAAATAATTTATATTGATTTAAGTTAAATAATCTAGCCAACCCACCTAATGAATCATGAACTGCATTCTGATTGGTGGAGAAGAGACATTAGCCCCCAGAGAATAGCTGTTTTCTCTACATAACCAACCAGGCATACTACAGATAAATTTGCAAGTTAGCCAATATAGTTGCAAAAGATGAACTGAGTATACAATATAAGTGCTGAATTCCCCCGAGTCTGAGCTGACCCATGCAGACTTGTAGTGAATACTAAAATATTATTACAGAAACAATTTAAAGTTAACCCTCAAATTTACAAAATTGATATAAGTTATGCTGCTTGAGAAATTAACCGTGCTGTTCATTATAAGACTTTTAATTACAGTTAGTGAAAAGTGTACTTTTAAGGCAATATACTTAACATAGAAATGCTGGATTGATTTTTGTCAGTTATTATCAAAATATTAAGCATCTATAAAGATATAGCATCTCTCTCTATTTATATATACATAAAGATATAGTCAAGAATAAGAGCCAGGAAATGAAATACATATATGTAAAATCACCTTTATTTTCTGTAGTCATTTTAAACAGGAAACACAAGAATGTCACATAAAAGCTAAAGAATAAAAGAACAAAATGCTAAGTATTTAATGTGTTTTCAATAAACACAAGTCAGCTCATGGACTACATCTGATCATCGCCATTACTTTATAAGTAGGAGTTTGAAACTTTTGATCTCTTCTTGAGGGTCATTTTCTCCTAGGAAAGTAGTCACAGCATCTCAAATGTCACTGGGTCTGGCTATGGTGTGCAGGGATGACCTCCCATTATCAGCAACCAAAACCCCAAAAAAGTGCTCTCCCTTCTATTTCATTCTGAAGGTTTTTTTCTGTAGATTTGAAATCATGATAAAACAACTGAACATCACTTTCATTAATCACTATGTTTAACAAAGGAATAGATAACTTGAACAAGGTTTTAAGATATAAACATTCTTGGCACCTTTTTAATCCTTAGTAGTAGATATCACTGGATTTTTCTAAACCTGATTTAGTTTTCCTAATTTTTTAGTATCAAAACATAAATTTCCCAATTTTTTAGTTTGCATACATTCTCACTGTCTAGACCTTAGGCCACCTTTTTCTGTTTGTTTTAATCATTGCTTTGCTTTTCCCTTTCTTTAACAGAAGCCTTTACCTACCTTTCCACCATTTATCCACAGAATAACTACAATCATCCTTCCAAATATCTGGCTCAAAGCCCCCACCATTTCATTTTTCAGCATATCTGCATCTGATTTCAGCACACATTTTCCTCATTTCATGGAGGGGATACACTTATTAGAAATTGAGTGCGACAGATACATTGCCACCAGGGAACAAAACTGAGGATAGCTCTGCAAATTACACTTAAGGAATTGAAAAAACATTTAACATCATTTACTCAGAAATGCATTCTAATAAATATTAGTGATATTACAAACAAGAGGACTAGGAAATGTTCTAATTACCAGTGTCATGTGGGTAGAGAATGAAAAAAGAAAATAAAATCCAGGAAGAGTTCGAATAGGTCTGTGTCTTTACTTTTCACTCATGTATTCTAGCCTCTTTCTAGAGTGACTTAGAAGTGATGAGCTTGCAATTCTGTAGTAGTGGTGGAGTTCAAAAGTGATATCTAGCCAGTCATGGTGGTGCACATCTGTAATCCCAGCACTCTGGGAGCCTGAGTGAGGAAAATCACAAGTTCAAGCTCAGCCTGGAAAATCTAATGATTTAGCAAGACCTTGTCTCAAAATACAAAGTGAAACAGGGCTAGGGATGTAGCTCAGTATGAAGACCCTTTGTTCAATCCCAATTCCAAGCCCCCAACAACAACAACACTATCTACATTCAAACAGAACCTTCACCACTCACTACTGTGACTTTGGGCAAATTTTTCCAAGCCTCTTCATTCAGATGTTTTCATGAAACCCAGCATAGCCTGACATCGTCATACATATTTATTGGTTTGCTCTATGGGCCCTCTCCTCCACTAAAATGTAAGCTCCTTGAGGGCAGAAATAATGTTCTTTCTGCTTGCAGGTCTATCCCAGATACCAGCAATGAACATAGTAAGCATTAAAACACTTGATGAATAAATGAAGTTAATAAACCTCCCTAAGCCTCAGTATCTTCATTTGTAAGAATAAGACAACCTACCTGGGATGGATGAGGTAAGAGTTAAGTGAGAGAGCTGTACAGAGAAAAGCATGGTGCCTGGATGTTACTCAGTGAATACAACACCTAAACCCCCCTGTTATGGCTCACATCTAAATGTACCCCCAAAGCTTCATGAGTTCATAGGTGGAGTTTTACAGAGGTGGCAGGATCTAGAGTGTGTGAATATGAATTATTGACATGAGAGACTGGATCTGTCCACTGATCTGATTAGTATGGTTCTGAGTGTGGTGGAATAGATTTACTGAAGACAGAAGCCCCACCCTGGGAGTGAGTGGCACTAACCAATAGGATTATAGCCTGGATGAAAAAAAAAAGGGAAAGGGAGGCTCACTGTTTTCTGTCTCCTGCTTGCCCTGCCATGGACTTTTCCCTTTGCTAAGCCCCTCTGCCAGCCCACCTGCCATGGAGCTAGCTGACCATGGACTGAAACTTCTACAAACTATGTGCTGAGATTACAGACACATGTTGCCACTCTGTGGTTTTGTGTTTGTTTTTAAGGTGTTATCCTTATTACCTAAAAGATGCTACCTTCACACCAATAAAATACATTTTATACAAAAACATTCTTGAGAATGTACAAACCACTAAA